GTCCATACAAATGATAAAAGTATTAGAATTACAACCGCTAAAATTTTTTTAATTTTTATATCGCCATATTTTTATTTAAAACGTGTTATTTTCTCTCGCTTCGTCCGCAATTACTAGCCTAAAAAAAAATCTCCGGTCGGGCCGCAATGCATTATGGGATACGCTGGCCCGGGAAGGATCCATCAGACCTGTCCTTCGATTCAGGCCAAAGGAAGGACGTATTTGTCGGCCGCATCGGAGGAGTCCTCGGTTTTGGACGGCCTTCGTCGCGGCGCTGTGACGTATGCAGCCGACAAATTCGGCCTTCGGAGGACCCGGCCTGCCGTTTTGGACACAGCCCTTGTCGTTGATGTTGCGTGGCTGTGTGATATATTCATTCTGAAGCTGGATTAAATCAGTAGGCTAACTTGCTAATGGAAACATGTGAGTTTGTTAATAAACCGGCAGGCACAACAGTGATAAATTACTTTTGCGAGGTAACGCAACAGTATTGTGTGGGAACGCAAAAGAAAGAAAAATCTCCCATGTCCTCTCGCGGRCTTCGTAGCTTTGACCTCAAGAAGGTCATTTGTTGTTTAGCTTCCAATGATTCTAAAAAATACAAACTTGATCTAGAAAAGTTTTYATTCTAAAAGGGGTATTAGCTTCCACGTTTTATTTTTTGTTTATTTGTTTAGCAGTTAGTGTTAGCTTACACTAATTTCTATCTGGTTAGCAGTAAGTAGCGTTAGCAAAGCTAAGATTCTTGTTTAGCATAGTAGTGGTTAGTGAATCTAACTTTTTAGTTAGCTGTGTCCACCACTGTCCATGTAATTGATTTAGCTTTCAAATGGGAAAAAAAGGCACAATTTGCACTGGTAACACAACATTGCATCCATCTTGGCATATGTTTTGTAATTATTGTCTTGCTAGCAAGGTTGTAAATGTCAGACAGAAAGAAGAAGCAGAAGCTTGTCTTGGTTAATAATGTTTTTTTTTCTTTTTTCCATTGACTCCTAATAAGAAAAATTGCCTAACATCAACACTTCCTCAAAATGTCAAATATATGGAACTAAAACTTCTTTGTCAAAGGCTTACTTTRGGTGGTATTTTGACAGTCCAGTCAAATATTAAGATGCAGAGTTGTGATTTGAAAATAACTTGGTTGTGGATATTTGGTCATTTTGAGTATAAAGTTAAAAGTATCCTGTCATTTCACATTTTTTTATTGTTTTACTTGTAAGCAAAGCATTTCTAAAATTCAAAGCCACAGTTTTGGTCGAGTCGACGAAATTCAAAATGGCAGTCAAACRTGTTTTGTGTTATTTCAGTAATCTGAGCCCAAACCAGCAGGTGTTTGACTGAAGCTGAAGAAAGTGAGCGTTACTGTGGGATGTGCTGGTGCTTTAGTCATGTTTGCTTTCATTATGAAGATTTAACAAAGCTACACAATGCTCAGTAACATTTCTTATGAGTGCTGTGGGAATGGATACCCTGAGCAAGTTTTGACTGGACTCTTGTATTATTTGTGTGCACACACATGCTTGTGTTTGTTTTTCACTCGTGCAGGTGTGTATGGACTATTTCCAAGAGCAGCCTTTCCTCATAAGGGAATTGTGAAACATCCAGTTCATTGTTTCTTTCCTGTGTTGTACTTTTTTTTGGTTTTGTTTTGAACCTGTCGGTGTTTTCTCCAACATTGATCTTCAGCGATTGATATTTACAGTAATGGTGACTTTTTAACCTTTTTTTTCCAGGAGAAACAGGATCCAAGCAGTACCTCTCTGCAGCTTCGTAATGAGATCCAGGTAGGCAGACGTTATACGCACAAAACACTTTTTTATAAGTATTACCCTGCTTTTTATATTAATTATGTCATTTACACTTAAGCTGTGTTGAACAGCCCAGCCTTACACATCCCTGTCTTTTCATCCTCAGGAATCCTTAGGCTTCAGCAGTGAAGTGTCCACTCCTGAAACAGACAGAAAGTATGTTTCGTGTTATCTRCTTTATCTTTCTGACATGTGCTCACGACCAGTGTTGAAAGCAGAAAATGTGTGTCTGTTGAGTGTCTGAACAATTTGCTGCACGTGTGTCTGGTTCACATCAAACCGTACATGTCTGTGCAAAAAGAACCCCATAAATTACACTTACACACATTCACTGGGTTGACAGAGAGAGGCAAACAAAGTTACACAGATCAACAGACACATGTTGACTGACTTCTACCATGTAGGACAACTTATACAAAGGTACGACTTCACCCTTGGGGAATAGATGTTACCTCTGAGGATGTTTCACATTTTATTGGTCATGTTTTTACAAT